AGAGGCCACGCTGCTGCTGCTGTTTCCTGGCCCTGCCACGCAGCGCAAAGGACAGCTGTAGGCGGGAAACAGCAGCAGCAGTGCAGCCTCTCCTGCCCCATGGCGGGCTACGCTCCCCGCCTGCCCCTGCTGCCGCGGAGGCTGCCGCCGCCCTGGGCTTGGGCCGCCCGGTTCCCGAGCGGCGCCCGGTTCCTGCTGCTCTCGGCCAGCAGGTGCGGGGCCCCAGCTGAGCCCGGCCCCTTGTGTCTCCTCCGCGGCGGCAGCCCCTGCCCGTGTCCTCCTGGGCGGCCATAGCGGCAGCGGCCGGGTAACCCGAGAGGAGTGGCCCCCGGGCAAGCGGGAGAGACTCCAAGGTGAAGAGGCTGCTGGCGCGACCCAAGCACTGGAGACTGACAGGTACCTGCCCCTAAGCAATAGTGTAAAAAAAATTTTGGGGCACCGCTTTTTGGCGCCCCCAAAGCTTGGCGCCCCAGGCGGCCGCCTAGTTCGCCTAGTGGTTACACCAGCCCTGAAACCTTCAAGATGTAGAGCCTGTTTTGAAACTATGGGCTCTAGGGCAAGGTTCTGTAAGGGCACCAGAAGGGCTGCCCCCACAGCCCTAGGCCACTGATCCATAGCCCGGGACAGACTTATTGGGGCGATCGTCAGATGAAAGGGGGATTCCCATTGAGGTGATCACTCATGCATGTCAGATATACAAAATGGCTGCACAGCCCAGAACGGGGCCAGAAATGTCCCACGTTTAGAGTTGGTGCCACCAGCTCAGAGCCACCCATGGGAGACAGTCAGTCTGGGAGTCATTGGGCTTGTGATTGACCATCACCCTCAGCCAGTGTAGCGGGAGGCTCTCAGCGGGGCTGTGGGGAGCGAGAGGTGTGCATGGCAGGGGGGCAATTCTGGTTTCTGTCCAAACTGCCCTGGTGTGATACAGCAGAACCTGAAAACAAGTGGAAGATCCACTGATAGCACTGGGAGCTGAGAAACAGGAAGCTGCCTTGGGGCTCAGCCTCTGTGAACACCCTCCCTCCCCCGCCCCGCCCAAGTTGGGTGAACGTCCCTGATGGTGGAGTCTCCCATTAGCCTGGCTCCCAGACCAGGAGAGACCAGCCCAGGGCAATATGCAAAGCCCACCAATACTAACGCCCACACGGCAGCACAGAGCAAACTGCGCAGGGCCCAGGGCCTTGGTTGCCCCCTCCCCCCGAGACTAATCAAAAATAGTTCCCAGAAATAATGTAAACAGCTGACTTACTTGTAAAAGCAAAGAAAATACAGGGGTTAGATCATTGTTATCCCCCTGTGCTTAGAGCAGGGGGCTGGAATCAGGACTCCTGGGTTCTGTCCCCAGCTGTGGGAGAGGAGTGGGCTCTAGGTTGGGGGGGGGGGCTGGGAGCCAGGACTCCTGGGTTCTATCTCTATATTTGCTGCTTCCCTGGCAAATCACTGTCCTCTCTTTGTGCCTCTCTCCCCAGCCACAAACTGGGGGCAATGATACTGTAGATGTAAGCAGAGTCAGGATGAACTCTCACCTGACATCTGGTGGTGAATTAT